TCAAATGAAATAAGAAATTTATTTATTTATTTATTTGTTAGTGTGTTGTATGTTGTATGTTGTATGCTTGTAAACAGGTGAAACAAGGTATGTTGTATGTTGATAAGATGAAAGCATGTTAGGGTGTACTGTTTACGCTTATTTATGTACTCAGCTTTGCTGATTGTGTTTTATATGTTTGTTTGGACTTGTCTTTATCTTGGCTCTACGACAACTCATATCTAATGGCGAGTAGTGGGGACAAAGTAAAGAGAAGTTTTTTAGCTGATGAAGCATATTCATGATGGGCATGAGTGAAGAGCGAATCCTGTTTAGTTTCTATAAGAATATGATGTGTTTTATTTGCTTTGCTTATTATATATTTTCTTGTGAGACAAACGCAAAGGTTTTATTAATCGTTTGGGTTTTGAAAAGGGCCTACAATGGTTTCAAGTTGTAGGATGACTTTATTTGACTTTACTTTCGTTTGGTTTGACTTTTGAGTTGACTAGTTTTGAATGGTTTTTAAAGTGAGTCTTCCGTTGTGTGTCTTTGATAATTGCCTTAGCTATTATCACGGTGGCAGTAATGTCTTAGATTTACCTATTTTGTATTTTAAAAAGAGCAAAGTAGGTATTCTAAGGGAAAGGTATTTCTAGGGAGTTACAAAATGGTATCTGGGAGCTTTGGTTGAGATTTTTATTACCACTAAAGCTAAAAACGTGTTTTAAAGTATTTTGTTTTAAACTTGGCCAAGTGTTTAATTAATGAGTATTTCACAAAGTGAGTTATTTTAGTATTTTTAAAGAGGACCAAAAGTATTTTACTTTTTTTAAATAGGTCCGATTTTTTTATATAAAAAAGGGGTGTCCGATTTTTTTTTTTTTTTTTTTTTTTTTTTTTTTTATGTTGGCCGAAAATTTTGGCCTTTTTGGAATTTTTTTATGAATTTTTTTTTTAAAAGAGTTGGTTAAATTTTTTTTTTTTTAGTTTGTTCGTTTTGCTGGAAAGTGAAGGATTAAGGTATGAATTATGTGTTAAAATGTTTAAAAGCATGTTTGTGAACTTGGGTAGGAAATAATTTAGGGCATATAAGTTAGAAATAATCATGTTCTTGTATGCATTATTATTTAAGTTGTGATGTTTGATCATGTGAATTGAATGATTAGAAGCATGTAATTATGTGATTAGAAATAAGTAAGATTATTTGATTAAACATTGAACCTAAATGCATGCAGGAACTGTATTATTTTAGTTTACATTCTTTGGGAAGAGAATTCTTTTCTAAGTCTTTTCCTTTATAGGATGCCGATCTTTCTTAGCAAACACTCACAAATTGGTAGCCTAATTAAGAAATATTATGAACATCCATTTGACTATGTCAAGAAAATTCGTTTCTATTGTTCACACATGAGCGATGTCCTAGGAGACAAGATCGTGTTTCAGCTATGATAATTCACTATCTTCCAAATGAACCCTCATATCTTGCTGTCAAAGCAAAATTTGCTGATTTCTACTTACCCAGGGACATCTCCAATTACACCAAATACAAAGACTATTATGGACAGTGGTACCCTGATTACAAATACTTGATTTCTTATTTCGTTCGAGTAGAGAAGTATCACTGCGAGCGCTTACATATTCTGTATCCAAATTACTACTATGATAACCCAGTAGGGAATGATTCCCCTTCCACTAGTAATCAATCAGGAAATTCTTCCCCACCACAAGGTAATCAAACAAGAGCTAATGGAGGGCAGGAGGAAGGAGAGCTAATGGATGAGAGTAACGATGTTGTTGATAATTCCATTATGGAAATCTCGAATCCAAATCCACCCCCAACTCCAATCATTATTGACATTTCATTTAATGATGAGAAAGATGAAGAGTTTATTCAAGTAAACCAAAATCTAGAGACACCTAAACCAATGGAGGAGGAAGATGACCCTGAATTCGATCCCAGAAGCTACAAACAATCAAAGGACAAGAAGGACAATGTTCGAAAGGACTAGATTTTTGTAGTTTCATTTTTTTTAGGATTCTTAGTTTCATTTCCACAATTATAATTATTTCATTTCCAATAAAGTAATAAGTAGCATGGCCACAGTGAGTCAATAAACCTATTGAGTTGCGTAGGTTATTCGAACTCATTTCATTTTTATTTTCCAGCCATTTTCTTAATTTCTCGGCAATAAAATTTATATTCATTTTAATACCAAATAATTTATTTTATCTCTAAATCATTCATTTCACATCACTGCTCTAATGAGCCATATCTTACTCAAATATTCCAATAATTCATTTCCAAACTCTAGGGAATCATGGGAATTAATTTTATTTATTATTGTGATGCTTTATTAAATGTATGGTTGGTTAGCAATAATCAGAATTTAGTTGATCAAGCTGCAAAATTTGGGAGTTGTAATTTTGCAACCTCAATTTCTTAGCTTAAATTAAATATGTGTATATGAATAGTATAAGTTAGTTGGATGGGTGTCTAACTTGAGAGCTAACCATGACCATAATTAATAAAGACCCCTTATTTTAATGTAGGAGAAGAAAGATGGCAGGAGGAAGTGGAAACAAGAATGAAGGAAGTGAGCTAAGCGAGGTTGTAAGGCAATTGACAGTGGTCGCCCAGCAGTTAGCAAGAAACTCGACCAACAATGGGGACGCTCAGGGGGAATTTTTCAAGAAGGTGGTGCAAAGCAAGCCACCAACCTATCAACACGAGCCAGACCCAACTGTGTTAGAAAACTGGTTAAGAGAGTTTGAGAAACTGTTTGGGGCAGTAAAGTGCCCAGAAAATTCAAAAGTGGGTTGTGCTACCTATTACCTCAGGGGTGAAGCTGACCTTTTGTGGCAACAGAATAAGGTTCCCATTAAGACACTACCTGGTTTTAATTGGACTATGTTTCAAGAGAAAGTTAGGGACAAGTTTTACCCCAATTTCCTATAGAAACAAAAAGCTGAGGAATTTTCTAACCTAACAATGGGAGATATGTCAGTCATTGAGTATTACACCAAGTTTATTGAGCTGTCAAGGTTTGCCAAAGAGTCTGTTGCTACAGGAAAGGGGAAAGCTAGGAAGTTTGAGATTGGATTGACCACTGATCTTCAGCTAAAGTTGTGTGGACCAGTGTTCGAAACCTTGGATGAAGTTTGTGGGAGGTATGCACACCTTTATGCTTTGGAGTTGAAGAAAAAGAAGGAATTAGCTGAGGTGGAAGGAAAGGAAAAGAGAAAGAAGATGGGACAGAACTCTAGAAACCCTCAAGGTAACCAGAACAACTTCAAGAAGTAGAAATATCACCACAACAACAACAACAACAACAACAACTTCAACACCAATAATAACTTCCACAATAACAATCGTTAGAGTGGACGAAACTTCATTGGAGGGCCTAAGAACTTTAATTAGGGAAATAATAAGGAAGGAAGGTGTTATTTCTGTAAGAGGTGCAGAAATAATCACCCTGGAAGAGACTGCGAGGGTAACCTAGTCACTTGTCGTGTTTGCAACAAGTTAGGACATAGGGAATATGAGTGCTTCTCTAAAGATTCTAACCGAAACAAGTAGGGAAATAATCAAGGAGGGGCTCAAAGGAACTTTCAGGGAAGCAACAATTATGAAGGGAACAAAAGGGCACAACAAAATGGGTGAAAGGCAACAATAATGGGAATGATCAGGTGAAGAGTGGAACTCCAGGAAAATTAAATGTGATAAGTAGGCATGAAGTTGACACTACGAAGGATGTTATTACTAGTACTTTTCCTATCAACTCTATTCCTGTTAAAGTTTTGTTTGATTATGGGGCAACTTTTTCCTTCATTTCAAAGGCCATTGTTTCGAAACTATCACACTACTTGAAAACCGTAGATGTCATAGATGTACATATAGTCATTCCTACGGGAGGGGTAGTACAATGTATCAAAACCCTTAAGGATGTGCCATTAGAGATCAAAGGGAAGGTTTTTTTGTCTAACCTCAATGAATTTGGGTTAAGCGACTTCGATATCATTTTGGGAATGGATTGGTTGAGCAAGTATAGTACAGAGATTTGTTGTCGATCACAGACAGTTCAGTTAAGTACGGCTGAGGGTGACTTGGTAACACATTGGAAACATGGTGAAACAAAGTGCCCAAGGATCATCTCTATGATGAAGTTGGCTAAGTATATTAAGAAGAGACATCCAGTATATTTTTGTAGAGTAAGAAACATGGAACACGAAGAGACGGCTAAGCCTAAGAACATAGAAGTGGTGAATGAGTTTCTGGATGTGTTCCCAAAAGAGATTATAGGGATGCCACCTAAAAGGGCAATTGATTTCACAAACGAGTTGGTCCCCAAGACAGCACCAATTTCCAAGGCACCAAATCAAATGACACCTGTAGAAATGAGTGAGTTGAAGGAGCAGCTGCAGGAATTACTAAAAAAGGGGTATATTAGACCAAGTGCATCGCCTTGGGGAGCTCCGGTGTTGTTTGTTAAGAAAAAAGGATGGAAGTATGAGATTATGTATTGACTATAGGGAGTTAAATAAGGTCACCATAAAGAACAAGTACCCATTACCAAGGATTGATGACCTATTTGACCAATTGAGGGGCGCATCTGTGTTTTCCAAGATCGATTTAAGTTCTGGATACCACCAGTTAAGGATCGCAGACGAAGATATTCCCAAAACTGCATTTAGAACAAGGTATGGACATTATGAGTTCACAGTAATGCCATTTGGATTGACGAATGCTCCAGCAATCTTTATGGACCTGATGAATAGGGTGTTCCATCCATTTATGGATAAGCTTGTCGTAGTGTTCATAGATGATATACTGGTGTATTCGAAGAATAAAGAGAAACATGTTGAACATTTGAGGGCAGTTCTACAAACTTTAAGGGAGAACAAGCTCTATACGAAGTTTTCCAAGTGTGAGTTTTGGTTAGAGAAGGTAGCATTCTGGGTCACTTTGTGTCCAAGGATAGGGTAGATGTAGATCCCGCAAAGATTAAAGCAGCGAAAGGATGGCCTACGCAAAGACGGTGTCTGACATTAGGAGTTTCTTAGGTTTAGCAGGGTATTATAGGCGTTTTGTGAAGGACTTTTCAAAGAATGCTAAGCCTATGACCTCTCTAATGAAGAAGGACAAGAAGTTCGAGTGGGATGTGAAGTGTGAGGAAGCGTTTCAACTCTTGAAGCAAAAGTTGATTACAGCGCCAGTGTTAACATTGCTTGATGATAGTGGAATCTATGATGTACATAGTGATGCATCCAAGAATAGTCTTGAAAGGAATGGTGTCCTTCAAACAAGTGTTGAAATCGTTTTTAATTGGATTAAAATCGTATTTATGCTATTTTTGGCCTATAAACTTCGATTTTGACTAAAAAATTAGTGAATATTGGGTGGAATCGACGTTTTATATCATTCTTTACCTACAAAGTGTTTAAAAATGACCTTTCAAAAGCTAAAATCCACCCAGAAAGTAGTTTTTCGTTTTGACAAAAAATTTTAAATCTTTAAACCTTGATTAATTATGGTATGCAATTGTTAAATTATGTGTTTGATTATACCATTAATCTTCTGCAATTTTAACCCTTACTAGCATGTTTATGAAATCATAATTGGTGGTTAATTTGGTTAGCTCTTATTTTCACATAAACTTGCAATTTCACATTTTTGCAAATTAATTGCTTGGAGTGTGAATGTTTATGGTGAATATGTGTTTTTGAAGCCCCTAAAAAGTTAAAGATTCAATCTTTAATTGTTTATTTGGTTAGATCTTAACCTGCTAAAATCCATAATGAACTAATTTTTGGTTTTAATCATTTATAAGTTGATTAAAATCTTATATTGTTCATACTAGTGCTTGAAATTTTATTGTTCTTCATATTGGAAGATTACAATATTTAAATGTACATAATAAGTGTTAGATAAATTTTTCATTGGATGATTATTTATTTTTCCAACCTTTTTTTGTCAAATCTCATTGTTAATTTATGTTAGTTAAACTAATTGTGAGAATAGCCCTCAATTTTGTTGCATCAAGTTGAGCCAAAAAATAATTTAAAGAATGGTTATTGAATTAATTTTGGTTTGTGCACTAAAATTGAATTTATTTAAGTTGGACTTAATTTATTTTTAATATTGCTCAATATTGGTTCTAAAATCAATTTAGAAATAATTTTAATATCACACAAAATAATCGGAATAAAATCCAGAAGCACAACAATCGCAAAATCGAAGCCGATGGTTCGAGCACCTAGGCTCGGCTAGCAGGGCTGCTTGCCGCAACCTACATGTTGCTGCCGAGCCAAGGCATGTGCGAGTGTGTGCGAGGGAGTATGCATGTGGATGTGAGCGTGAGTGTGTGCAGGGAGAGCTAGCAGGCTAGGCGGGTGACTAGGCGCCACTCAGCCAGCAGCGGAAGCTGCTAGGACGCCCACGGGAGCACCTAGCAAGTGCTGTTGGGATGGGGGTGAGCACTCGCACCATGCCGCAAGGCTTGGCGCTGCTGTGGCTAGCAGTGGCGCGCGCCAAGGCAGCCTTGGTGCGTAGACCACGTGTATGAGGCCGACCTTGCGAACCATGCTTGGTGCCTAGCCACCCCCCTTAGGCCTTTTGGCTCGGGGCTAGGCACTTGGCATCGTTTTTTGCAATTTTGTGTATTAATTAAAACAAGGCTAGGCCTTAGTTTTTTCGGCACTTGCAAAAATTATTTGGCAAAATTTTGGGTTAACCGGCTTAATTAATTTTAATTGGATTAATTTTTAAATAAGTTGAATGTGGAATTTAGTGGGAGCTTCATTAATCGTTTTGAGCTATTATTATTGCGTTAATTCACATAATCGGATAATTACTTTGAATAATTTTAATTAAGGGAGAACATGGGACGGGTACCCGTACCGATAACGTTATCGGTTTGGGTACCTGATAACCAATAAGGACAAAACCAATAACCGAAACCGATCCGATAAGGAACGGGTACCCGTAAATTCAGATACCCGAAAATACGGGTACCCGAACCAAATATCCGAACCGAACCAATAAGCTGTTTTTTTTTTTTTTGGTCTTTTAAAACCTGCTTTCAATCTATTTTTACTTTTTAGTAGTTTTTTTGTTTTTACTTCCTTTCTTTTTATAAAAATAGAAACACTTACCCAATAAAATTAATAATAATTTAACAATGTATGATGATAACTAAAATAAGTCCATAATTTTTTTAAAAAAAAAATAAAAAAAAATATAGCCTGATACAAAATTACAAATCATACAATCCTACAACCTAATAATTTAAAAAAGCTACAGTCATACAATACATTAAAAAACAAAGTCCCTCAACCAAATAAAATCTAACAATTGTCTATTACAATCTATAATTAAACAATCAGTCCATGAATAAAGTAGCAAATTAGAATTGAATATAGAAAACGTTTCTTGACTTCAATCATCATCATTCTTCTATCCTTCATGCTTGTTGCTGCCTCTAATCATCATCAACAAAGAGGGATTGTTCCTCACCGGGAGGTAACATTTCTTAAAAAAAAAAAAAGAAAGAAAAAATTTAAGGAATAATTAAGAGGAAAATAATAAGATCGATAAAAAAAGACAATATATTTAAATGTTACCTGATTCAAAGTTTTCCATATCTTCAAGTCTCTCTTCAACTATAAGAGGACCTTAAGGTGTACTTAACCAATCTTGTGCACAAATCAAGGCTTCAACCATCTTAGTTGATAGTGAGCTACGGAATGAATCAAGCACTCGACCATCGGTGCTAAAAGCTGATTCCGAGGCGACTGTTGACACGAGAATGGCAAGTACATCTCTAGCCATGAGTGCTACTGTTGGGTACCTCTCACCATATTTTTTCCACCACCCTAAACAATCAAAGCTTTTTCCGGCAGGATTAACTTCTCTATCATCTTTTAAATACTTCGCCAACTCATTTTTCCCTTGTACTCCAACACTTGAACCCACATCCTTTCAAACTCTAATTCCACAACATCTACATCAGAGTCCATGTCTTCTATTTCCTCCGAAAAATCAGAAGTTTTAAGGGAAATGGACTTATTTGGAGGGTTTTCAGAAACATAAAGTTCATACATGTCATTTAGAGTTTGCATCACTTTTGCACACAAGTACTTAGATTTTTCAGAATCATATTTTTGATTAATTGTCCATTTAATATATCCCATTTTTCTCCTAGGATCAAGAATGACAGTAATATACAACAAAAGATTCACATTATCAACATTTTCCCAGTACTTGTCATGCTTTTTCTTCGTTCCATTAGCCATTAAACTCACCCCCACATCATTACTCAACACTTTTTTCTTGATTAACACACTAATCCCAACAAGTTCTTGTAAGTACAAATTAGAGGTGATATACAACAAGCCAGAAACTCGTAGAGTAGCATCGTAGAATATTTTAAGTAAAGGAAGGAAAGAGGCCACACGATCCCAATCACTAGGTTCAGATACCATCTGCCTTATTTAACCCAAACCTGAATTTACCACCATCTGAACATTCAAGCAAATCAAAAGCTCTACGATATGCCAAAGCACCTTCCAACATTAAATAAGTGGAGTTCCACCTACACATCTAAACAAAGAAAACGTTTTGACTTTAACTTTTCTTATTTAACACAACTCATAAACTTTTGCAATCTAGCACCTGATGATCTTACATACCCAACAGCACACCGAATTCTTTTTATTGACATATCACTTTCTTTCAATCCTTCTTTAACGGTTAAACTTAATATGTGAGCACAACATCTCATGTGTAAAAATCGACCCCCCAAAACTAATGTCTTCTAACTTTCAAACCTCCTTTTCAAATATTGAATGCCAACATCATTTGAACTAGCATTATCTACAGTGACAGTCATTACTCTAGAAATACCCCATCCAAGTAGACATTTTGGACACATTTACCAATTGTTTCACCAGAATGGTCAGAAATGATACAAAAGTTTATTATTTTTTTTGTGCAATTTCCAATTTTGGTTAATAAAGTAAGCGGTTAAACACATGTAATTCAGATTTTGGCAAGAAGTCCAAGTATCAGTGGTGAGACTTATACGTGAAGTGCACTTGCTAAAAAAACTCTTCAAACTTTTTTTCTCATCCATGTAAATCCTAAAACAATCTCTAGTCACTGTCCATCGAGAAGGAATAATGAAAAAGGGTTGTGTTACCTTCATAAAGTTGCGAAAACCTTCATGCTCCACCATTCTAAATGACATTTCATCCATAATCACCATCTTTGCCAAAGCTTTCCTACTATCTTCTTGATCAAATTTCCACAACTCAAGTCTACCTTTCTTTTGATCCACAAGATTCGAATCAAGAGTTTGTTGACTAAGGGACAAAATTTTCTGTTTTTGATCAATGTTTGGGGGGTATTCCTTACACCGGAGTATGTGATTTTTCATGCCGGAAATACCTTGAAGTGATGCACAACCAATGAATGTATGGCAATAGATACATTCAGTCTTACTTTCTCCATCCTTCTTTGTAAAATGATCCCAATGAGGAGAACGTCTTTTTCTAGTTTTTTTTGAAGTTTCACTAGAAGGGGCAGCAACATTAGCATCTTCAGAAGGTTGTTTTGATTGATTTTCTTGATCCAAGTGGTCATTATCTTCTGTCATTGGACAAGGGTCATATTCCCAAGGAGGACTTGGAATAGGAGGAGCTTGACTTCTAGCAGATGAGTCTGCCATCTCTCCACTACTTCCAATTTCCATATACTTTTACAAATGAAAAAACAAATAAGATCAATCATTGATCATGTAACATAAATAAAGAGAATTAAAAAAAAACATTAAAGTTGATACTAAGCTGCCAAATGTATACAAAAATTGAGCTATTAAACTTTAACAATAAACATCATTACTCTACAAAATTTTTTTGTAAGGAGGGGAGGGGGGGCAGATTATTCATTATAAAATCTCATATTGAAATATTCAAATAATCAGAGTACAGACTCAAAAGCAATTATCTGTATTACTTATAACTTTCTGATGTGCTAAAACAGTTTATACATCAAAATCAATTATCTCAACTTCGCAATAAACTCAAACTTTGCAATAATTGTCATTATACTAAACTAGCATAGGAATAAATAATATTAGAACAGAAATTAAAGCTACATTAATATCTGACTAAGAACAAAGTTACAATAAAGCAATTTACCAACCACTAAACTTATATTAAACATTTAAAGTTTTAAACTAGTGTACTATCATTTCATATAATCAAAGCCAAGACTATATATACTCCTACATAAATGTTCACGCACCAACATCTAATTAAGTTATGGGTAATCAAAATTAAACTAACACTTCCTACAACATTATCAAAGCCAACAAAT